TATATACACACACACAATATATCTCTACGTCTATTTCTATATGGATGTATGCATAGCTTTGAAGTCCAGCATGCAACCCTGTTACCTCCTTGGAACTTCAACAGTTAATTTCCCTTGGTGCATAGAAACCTCATAGGGACCCCAAACCCCACACACTCTAAGCTCCAGTTGATCTCCCCTCCTCCAGTTTTCTCATTCCTATGCTTGTCACCTCCACTCTTCAGTGGCCCAGCATCAAGCCCCCTGGGATATCTTATCACTAACGTCTCTCTTTCTCTCATACTCTGCATCTGTTCTTGCCAGCAAATCCCATCGGCTCTATCTTTAAAATATGTTCAGATTCTGCATTCCAGTGCAGTTAACACGTCAGCCCGTTTATTCTCAATGGGGACAGTTTGACTCTCCAGGGTATGTTTGGGAATATCTGGAGAACTTTTTTGATTGCTGTGACTGGGGAGGAGGGAATGGTTTCTGCCATCTGGTGAGAAGAGGCCAAGTGTGATGCTTTCACAATAGGAAACCGGTGGTCCAAGATCTCAGTAATCTTGAGGTTGAGAAACCCTTGCCTAGTCCTCATCGCCTTCTGTCATCTGGACGCTGCTTTGACCTTCCCAGTAGTTCCCCCCACTTCTTCTCCTAATTCCTTGAAGGCATTGCTCACAGTGGCCAGCCTGGTCTTCATGTCTGCACGCAGCAACACTCATCTGTTAAAGTCCGCTGCCCGCTGTACACCAAAGAAGAGAGAAAGCTGAATCTTTTGTTCGGGTTTCCAGGGTGTTCTCTGGCTTGGCACTGCCCACTGCCAGCCTTCTGTCCAATATACTCTCCTTCAGAACTATGCCTTTTCTCTGCTTCTCAAATGACTCATCTCGTGGCCTTTCTATCCAGAGCCCCCATCACTCCCAAGCTCTGATTTCTATTTAGTTTATTTCCTTATCTTTAGATCTTTAGCTTAAAGTCTTTTTTTTTCCTAACCCAACTACAGAGGACTTTCCAGTATTCAAGCACACTGCTTATTCCATTTTTTTCTATTCACTCTTTCTTTCTTACAAATTTGCCACATTTATTTATTTATTTATTTATTTATTTATTTATCTATCTATTTACTTACTTACTTTATGTGTGTACATGTGTTTGTGCTTGTGTGTGTGTGTGTACAAGTACATTCATGCCATGGTGTTCTTAAGGTCAGAGGAGAACTCTCAGAAATCCATTCTCTCCTACCTCTTTGTGGGATCTAAGCATTAAACCCAGAATATCATGAGTAAGACTACATCCATCAAGTCATCTCCCTGGCCCTAAGAACCCTTATGGAACCTGATGTTTTACTTTATTCTACTTCACTTTTTCCTTTACCTTGTCTTGTTCACATCATGTTCCAAGATGGACGTTCCGTAATTTATGGTTGGATGGATGAGTCTTTCTATGACAGACCTTCTCAGGTGTTGTTTTCAAATCAGATCACAGTACCTGTCTATGTAAATAGTGGCTTGGTGTCCACAGTTCACTCTCATAGTGCAGATTGGTCCCCAGCCACATCTGGTAGTCATGGTAGCATCGGGCTGTTGCAGCTGTTCTCTGGTCTTAGTTCATGGCTCCAAGAGCACCGTGTTTCCGGTCTACCATCGTGCTGGCCTCAAAGACTTAAGGAAAGGATACTTACTACCTTTGCAGTTTTGAGACTGGTCCAACCCTTCCTTGCAAAGAGCCTCAGAGTCTTAACTACAAACTTCAGAAAGAATTTTAAAGAGGTTTTCACATAAACAGAAGGAAAACACAACACCCACACACACCGCACACTCATCCTGCCTGTGCTCAGCTTTCAGGCTGTGCCCTGAGTCTAGCTCTGAGAGGGTTGCTGGCCAGATCTCTCCCTGTTAAAGGATGCATGCGGTGCACATTTCTCTCTTGTGTCCTAAACCCAACCATGAAGCCTTTGAGATGGAGTTTGTCTACCATCTGCTGACGTCAGGCCATCTTTGCTTTCTGTTCTTTCTAGTGTTACATTTTTTCCCTAGGGACCTTTGCTTCAAGGAAACCCCCAGGACAAGGCTCCAGGTCTCGCTGTGCAGTGTGGACAATGTGTACCTACAGAGATGCTTCCTCAGAGAGTAGAGGGGGCTGAACCCTAGCTCTAGGTCAGCTAGCTGACACAAGCCATGCCTGCGCTTGAAATCAAGTTCTGCCTACCACAGGAGATGAAACCTCTAATCAAACACCTTTGATTAAAGTGATTGCCGTCCTAGATGTGGAGCTTTATAAAATTCACTTGTTTGGAGGGGAACCTTTAAATTGTCCTCTATCTGTCCCTTGCCCCCAGTGCTTTCTTGTCAAATGAATCCTTACTGTCACACTCCCTGAGCCCTTTCATCCATAGTGTTTGTCCCAGCTTTGTGATAATCACCTGATGACGTAATAGTCCATTGTGATCATGTTTTCCAAAGCCTGAGTCATTCATTTTTAAATACTAGTGGGAGGAGGAAGAGGAGATGCGTATGTACTGTGTGTGTGTGTGTGTCTGTGCGCATGCCCACGCACACATGTGTGCGTGCATGTGTATTAATAAAATAGACTTTTCCCCGTGTGCTGACAAAAAGTCCTCACCAGGTCGTCCTCCCAATAGCTCAATTACTTTGAGGTAAAGAGGAAGTCTGTTTGTTTCCTGAAGTGTCGAGCTCTTTATTTCCTAGCCTTCTTAAATAACGACTTGGAGCAGTTACATAAAGGATCCCATTGTGTGAGCTTCTGGAGCAAAGTCCTTTGTGGATCTTCCCAAGCTTCTGAGGCAGTGACACATTCCTGCTGAAATACGTGCTCGAGAGTCACTTAGGAAAACAGCCCTTGTCTCCTGGTCTGCCAAGTCCGTCTGAGATAAAGAAAGACTTCTGTTTTTGTCATGGAAACGAATGAAATGTGTGCTCTGAAAAGAAATGTAGCCCCCCCTTTCCCTGTGACACCGGAGGAACTGGAGCTGTGGAACAGTCTAGCAGGTTCTAATGAACAAGCTTTCAATTAGGGAGACTATGCTGTTACATTTTGAACGCTTTAAACTTGTTAGATTCTAATTTCCCCGACAGCAAGGATTAAGTATTGTCTTTCTGTGCTCGTGCTAGGAACGAGGATTAGTGGCATTTAAATGTGTCCTGTGATAGATGGCATCGCTAAGGGAGGTATGTTTCAGGCCACGAACAGCCTCAGAGGCGGTCCAGTACCGGGCCAGTTGGAAAGCCCTGCTGGTTCCTTTACCACACACAGAAAGAATGCAACTGTTTCTGAGCTCTTACTCTGGAACTCCAGATGAAGTCTGCTGTTGTAGCTGAGAAGTCCAACCCACTGGCCAGCTATGTGGGAAAACTCGCCCGGCCCTCGGGCTTCCTGCCTGCTTCCCAATCACGAATGTGGGGCTCGTTTGTAGGAAGGACTCATCTGCATGGCGGTTGGTTGCCTGAGATCAGGGGTCATTCTTCCTTTCTAGAGGAAGGAAAACAAATGCTCTGTTTATCCCCTGCCTCTGTTTCAAGATGAGGAATTTCCCCTGACTTCTGACCTTAGGGGTGGCTGTTCAAACCCAGGCTGACTCAGACGTGAGAGACGGAACCTCTGACTCCGTGCATGCTTAGTGGGGAAGGCTCTTGAACACAGTGGGCCCCCACCTCCCTTTTGTCTTTTTAATACCTTTCTTTAGGTTTTCTTTTTTATTTAAAAGTTCTTTTTTTTTTCAATTTGCCTGCCACCAACCATAGTTTTTCCTCCTTCCCCCCCTTCTCCTGCCCTTCCTCCCAACCTTCCTTCCATCACCCTCCCCCCCCCAGCGTCCATTTCTCAGAAAAGATAAGGCCTCCCAGGGGGAGTCAACAAAGTCAAGCGTATCGAATTGTTTCTACCTAATACATTCCCATAATGATGGATTGGAAGTGGCATAGAGAGACCAACAATACCTGTGCTTGGAGATGCAGCGTTATTTTATCCACTGCCTGGGTCTGTAACGGCTGAAGACAGATTGTAAAAATATATACAGCTTTAATGGAGAAATAGACTTACAGGACCACCGTTCCTGCAGAGACCAGGAAAGCAGAAGCAGTGTCTGGGAGCACACTCGCCAAATTTATAGGCTAACAGTAGCCCGAGGCGAACACGCCCCCTAAGGGGCGGGACTTATCCCTACATGGGTCCTGGAGTCAGGAGCCCTCCCCGAACAACGGTATACTTTGCTGTGACCTGAGATGAACAATCTAAGTAGGAATAGAAATTTCAATCTCTGATCATTTTTGTTGTTTTGGGCCTCTGGCTAAGCAGAATATTATGGTGGGGAAAAAAATTACTTACGCTATGCTAACTAACTGGGAAACAGAGAGAGGAAGGGATATTTTCAAAAAGCTTCTGGGAGTATGATCCTGGTAACCTAGCTTCCTCCGCAAGGTTCTGTTTCCTAAATGTGCCCCCAATGTGCCATTGCCTGGAAACCAAGCCTGTTATTCTGGAAACAAAATGCACCCTCCAAGGAGCACCTCAGCAGGGGACCAGATCCTCAGCACATGGGCCTGTGGGAGGTATCGGACCACGAGGGTCAGCACCTGGTTCATGGATAAATTCATTGACCGTTCCTTACTTGGTGGGCTCTTAGGAGGTGGGGCCTAGCTTCCTGGCCAGCGCGAACAGAGAAAGCCCTTCCACTTCGTGTTTCTACCACCTAGTCTACTTTGCCTCAGACCCAAAGCTGGCCTCGAATCGAAAGAGTAGCTAAAATGACAAGTCCTTCCTTTAAATGGATTGTCTCGGGTGTTTTTGTCGGAGTAAGTGAATGGACAGCAAAGGCTTTAGCACTTGAGTCTTCGAGAGATATTTAAATTGCAAACCATAACAGAAGAATCTCAGTGATTTAGGGAGATTCAGATAAAGATCCAAGGGGCTGGGGAGACGGCTCAACTGGTAAAGAACTTGCCTTGCAAGCAGAAGGACTGGAGCTTGGATCCCCGGCACCAGTGTAGAAAGTGGATATGGGGTAGTATACCCTTTAATCCTGGTGCTGGGGAGGTAGAGACATAATGATCACGGGGCTTGATGGCAAGAGACGCTAGCTGAACTGGAAAGCCACAGGCTCAATGAAAGACACAGTCCCCCCAAAATAAGTTAGAGAGTAAACCATGACGATATGCAGCATTGACCTCTGACTTCTTTATGCATGTGCATGCGTTTGAACACACATGTGCACAGGCACAGGAACACGATGAGCTCATGTGTGATACATATGCAGACTGAGGAGACCTGTGGAACCTTGTACACCCAAATAGGAGTGGTTATAGAGACCAAATATATCTCTTCACAGTCCTTTTCTGCTCACCATGCCGTTTTGTTATGTGCACAAACTTGAACAGAACAGCTGCTGGCCCTTCTTAGATTCTTTTATTCTCAACTATCTGGTGGGTGTGCCGAGCTATGATGCTGTTTTGTTGTCTTCATCTAGCTGTTAAGAAGAGACAGGCTTCTGGGACACACAGTGACAGTTGGCACTGTTTCCATTTTCGTTCCCACCCCCACGGATGGTCTTGATGTTAAACTTGGGTTGAGGATGGGGAGATGCTGGTGCTGCAAATAAGGTCTTAAGAGTGCAAGTGTGGGGCTGTCCAAGGAGGCGATTAAAGTCTGGGTATAATAGGGGTGACAAACCGAGAGTCAGACTTCCTTTTAGACAGGCTCCCCTTGTAGACTGGACTACCAACCACAGCACAGCCGACAGGCACTGGGGGCCATGGTCAAGCGCTCTGCTCATGAGTGTGGCTACCTCACGTCACCTTATTTATATCCCTTGCTAAATGAGTGGAGGATCAAGGGAAGGCAAGACTCTGTCTCCCTTCCCATGTCTCCACAAATCACGTGTTAATTCCACAGCTGCCTTGTCTGTCTTCTCTCAGTTAGCTCATCTGGTTATTTTCTTTTAAGACTTTTCAGAAAGGCACACACACACACACAAAAAAAAAATCCTGTGAAATAGCACAGAATAAGGCATGATTTTATCTGACTTTTCTGAATGGTATGATGTGTTGCTGGGCTTTATCATTTTCCATCCTTAGATATTCCAAGCATTTGTTTAATATATTAATAGTTCCGGCCAGACTTAGTTCTCTCAGCTATCAGATTGTATATCCCCATTTTTACATTCCTTCATAATTCTGTAGCTACATTGACTAAGAAAACAGTATTTTGAGAAACAATGTTATCAGTGATAGAAAGGATTTAATACTAAATGGTCCCACTTAACAGCATCCATCATCTCTTCCTGGGTCATGAGGCACCCCTTCCTCCTTCTAAGTATTCGCTCTTCCTTTCCTTTCTCCTAGAATGCTCTTTCAATTTGACTCTGCACTTGGAGTTTCCTCTTCTGAGCCCCCACTCCCACCATTATGTATCTTCTAGTCTTTAAGAACGGAAAGGACAGGATCACCCCTCTCTCCAGTTGTGATTTTTTTCTAACTTTCTAGGTTCTTATTCTCTTGCTTTCCTCTGCTTTAATTTTTATCCCTTTTCCTTCATCTTAAAAATTTGTAAAAGAAATATAGGTGGTTGAGAGGTCACAATAGATCTTAGAGCTAGTCAATCATTTCTTACTTTTTCCCTCCAGCCTCTGCATAGCTCGATTAGAAGGAAGTCACTTAAGGGAGACTGTCCACTCTAGCAGCGACTCAGTACAAGTCTTTCTCATGACTGTGTACACAGTGGTTACTTTCCATTGAGCTGCTTGTGTGATGTGTACTGGGAGCAGAGGGAGGGCTAGACTGGTGTAGACAAAGCCTATAGGAAGAGTTTTGCCTCGCTCTATGACACATCTATTTGAAATTGTTTTGGAACAAAGTGTTCATCTGAACTTGAGGGATGGACAAAGGTGGAGGGGGAATGGGCAATGGTCCAGCTTCCTTTCTGGGATATTATCTCCTCTGTCTCTCATCTCCCTCCCTCTGTCCCTCCTTCTCTCCCCCTCCTTCTCTCCCTCCCTTTCTCTGTAGACAGTCTTTTCTCTTTGAAAGGCTGTCATGACTGAAAGACTGTAGCCTTGGTGGTGAAAACTTGAGATGTGTTGGTTCACGTTTGCATGTTTTCTCTGGCAAGAATTTTCTCTATTTTAAGTTAATCCTATTCGTTAAATTATTTTAATAAAAAAATTCAATTTTAAAAGTAAACTTTTGTTCCTTATTTCTACATTGGCCTGCTGTGGTTTAGGCTTAGGATACACATCCCTGGCTATTTTGCGATTTTCTTGGAATTGTGAATGTTCCCAGCTAGATGAGAGTTCTGAAGGAAACGTCTGAACACTCACGGTTCCAGCATCCGTGTCTGTGAAGTCAAGGCTGAGTGATTTCTAAGATCTCATAGAACGCGAGCAACTGCCATGCTGGCCTCTCCTCTCACGTGAGGATGAGTGTAAAAACGGCTACATGGTCGTCATGGTTTTACTTTTGTGTGGGTAAAAGCACTCTGAAAATTGAGAGTGCAGACCATAGTGAGATGTAATAGCCCATCTCACACATAGGCATGGGGTGCCTGCCTTCACTGTGACGTTTCCTTCACTGTGCACAGGAGTGGGTGGCGGGATGATGATGTCAGCATGCAGATCTTTCCCGTGATGAACTGGCAGCTTTGATAGAAGGAACATACAGTGTAAAGAGTCTGCTGCATAGGCTTTAGTCATTAGCAATGTGACTTTGGGCAAATTATCCTAGAATTGGAGGAGAGTGGGCTAATAATGCCTGTCACATGTTCACTGCGTGTGAGATTCATGCGTGCCACAGCATGGTACTGCACTAACTCTGATGAAAAGCAACAGCACTGTTCCCAGGAGTCTTGGTAGGTAGCTCTTCCTTTGTAAGTAGCTCTTCCTGAGCTCTGATTGATCCCCCCTCCCCCATCCTGGAAAACTCACAGCTTGGCACTGTCTGAAATTTAGAGGCATCTGTCAGCATGAGGCATCCTGGCTCAGGAAGTCTCCCTTCCCTGGCTCTTGCCAGTCTGCAGGTGGTTCCTGAGAGAGTGGGGACTGCTTTCCTCTTGGACACCTTGGCCTTCATGGTGACGATGAGTCACAGTTTTGTAGCAAAATCTGTTTGTCACAGACAAGAGTCAGAAGCAATTGTTTTGTCCAACAGTTAAAAGTGAGCACTGCTCTGGGACTGGACTGGAATTCCGTTTTCAGCACCCATGGTGGCTCATGTGTACTTGTAACCTCAGCTTAAGAAGATCTGAGGTTCTTTTCTAGGCCCTGCAGGTATTGTACTCATGGGCATACACACATACACACACACACACACACAAACACACAATTTAAATTAACATGTTAAAATACATAGAGAAAAGGAGAAACACAGAAAGGAGATGTGATTATAGAGTTTAAAAACCTTGGTCTCAGTAGGCTGGAGAGATAACTCAGCGGGTAAGAGCACTAACTACTCTTCCAGAGGACCTGGGTTCACTTCCCAGCATCCACATGACAGTTCACAACTGTCTGTAACTCCAAGAGCTGACACCCTCACAGAGACATACATCCAAGCAAAACACCAATGCTCATAAAGCAACAACAACAACAACACTTAGTGTCTCTAGGAACTGTAGAAATTGCTTAAGAAACAAGGCACCTTGAAATCTGGTGACACCGTAGGACCAGTCCGTGAACGAACTTGGAACCAGAAGACTTACATTTTAAATCTTCCCATGATTATATCTTGCTTCAGAGGATTAATATCAACAGCCAGACACAGTGAAAGAACCCTTGGGCCATCGTCTACAGGTGCCCTGTGTGTTTCCTAAACGTCTGCTCCTCTGCACTCATGAAGTGCACCTTGGTGTTACCACTAACAAACATCTATGTTCTAACGATGTGATTGTATCTAGCTGTTAGTGTTACATCACCACAGACATGCCTTCTGGGATAGGAGCGAGTGTAATGATTAGGACATTGAGATTATTCCAGCCTAGCAGCTGTCTTGGCTTTGAGAACAGGTGTCACTACTAACCTAGAAAAGTCACCCACCTTCTTAGATCTACAGGCGGGATTAAGGCTGGCCAGACTTCCGAGTCCTTTGGAGGAA